GATTTTGTTATTAATGCTGCGTTGAACTCTGATTGAGTTAGGATAAATTTGTATGTAAGTTTAGGTTCGCATAGGTATGGAACCTTGGAGGGGAACCTTGTCTATGTGCCGGTCATGGATCCGGGATTCGGGTCATGACAAACTTGGTATTAGAGCTTTAGGTTAAAGAAATAATATTATAATTAATTTCATAATAAGTGGAGCATTAGGATCCGTATTGTCTTAGTTTGTTGGTTTTGAAATTTTGAATTCTCATCAAGCATGTCTTCTTCCTTGTGATAGATATATTTTCTCATAATTTTGTGATAATTATCATGCTATTGTTTTAGCATGACTTAAGTGCTCTAACTTTTATTTTAGGAAATGTCGAGGAAAAGACGTATAGCTGATACTATTAGAGTAGATGATGTCCCAATTGTGAGGTTGAGAACCGCATAACTGAGAAAGAGACGCGGTGCACTTGTGCCTCAACATGTTGAGGAGGTACCTCCACTAGTAGAGGAAGAGCCTTAGGAGATAGAAGAGGAAGATTTGGTTGATGAAACAGGTATGGGGATTATTAACCCTGTTACAGAGGTTCAACAACTTAGCTAGGTTATGCGGACCTGCATAGAGTTTTCTATGAAGAGAGAGAGAATAAGGGATAAAGATGTAACCTCAACATCCCACATTGTTCATGCATAGAGTTTTCTATGAAGAGAGAGAGAATAAGGGATAAAGATGTAACCTCAACATCCCACATTGTTCATGCATAGAGTTTTCTATGAAGAGAGAGAGAATAAGGGATAAAGATGTAACCTCAACATCCCACATTGTTCAGGGAGTTAATGTGTCGTGGAATGACTTCATGAAGTTGGCACCTCCTATTTTTATTGGGATGGACAGTTCAGAGAATCCTTAAAGGTTCCTAGATGATATTTGGCGACGATGTGAAGCTTTGAGATGTATAGACCATCGAGCTGTGAGTTTGACATTGTTCAAGCTGAGAGGAGATGTGGCAATCTCATGGTTTGAGTCTAGGAAAAGAGCAAGACCAGTAGATGCTCAGTGGACATGGAAGGAGTTTAGCTCCATGTTCTTAGACAGGTTTCTTCCTCGGAGTGTCAAGGATGCTCGACTTTATGAGTTGAGAGGTTATCTCAGGGTAGCATGACAATGGATGAGTATGATCTGAAGTTCACTCAGTTGTCTAGGTATGCAGAACATCTCCTACCTACTAAGGAGTTGAGGGTGAAGAAGTTCATTAGAGGACTTAAATCCTCTATGTATATGATAATGATTTCACATGTGTTTCCATCTTACTCCTTAACTGTAGATAGCTCCAGGTTGATAGAGGCGCGAGAATTAGAGGATATAACTGCAGGCTAGTCTAAGAGGCCTAGGGAAGATAATATAACTTGACGCTATCCACAGTTGAGGAGTAAGATGGAAACACATGTGACACCATAATCATATACATAGAGGATTTAAGTCCTCTAATGAACCTCTTCACCCTCTACTCCTCAGTAGGTAGGAGATGTTCTGCATACCTAGACAATTGAGTGAACTTCAGATCATACATCTTTATCCCTTCTTCTCTCTCTCTTCATAGAAAACTCTATACAGGTCCGCACAACCTAGCTAAGTTGTTGAACCTCTGTAACAGGGTCAGCAATCCCCACACCTGTTTCATCAACCAAATGTTCCTCTTCTATCTCCTGAGGCTCTTCCTCCACTGGTGGAGGTACCTCCTCAACATGTTGAGGCACAGGTGCACCGCGTCTCTTTCTCAGTCATGCGGTTCTCAACCTCACAATTGGGACATCATCCTAATCATCATCTACTCTAATAGTATCAGCTATACGTCTTTTCCTCGACATTTCCTAAAATAAAAGTTAGAGCACTTAAGTCATGCTAAAACAATAGCATGATAATTATCACAAAATTATGAGAAAATATATATATCACAAGGAAGAAGACATGCTTGATGAGAATTCAAAATTTCAAAACCAACAAACTAAGACAATACGGATCCTAATGCTCCACTTATTATGAAATTAATTATAATATCATTTCTTTAACTTAAAGCTCTGATACCAAGTTTGTCAAGACTCGAATCCCGGATCCATGACCAGCACATAGACAAGGTTCCTCTCCAAGGTTCCTCTCCAAGGTTCCATACCTATATGAACCCAAACTTACACACAAACTTATTCTAACTCAATCAGAGTTCAACACAACATTAACAACAAACTAATTTCATAATATAACTTAATTGTCTTAATACAAAAGTTAATATAATTTCATAGTTTTGGAGCACTAATTAGACATAAAGGAAAATGTATGGATTACAACCAAAAGAGTAGGTTCTGAAGGTCCAACAAAAGTGACCTGCTATAAACCTGAAAATGATAAATAATGAGTGTGAGTTCAACAACTCAGTGAGTAGATAACGTTCAATATACACACACGAGATAATACAACAATGAGAAATATATGTACAAGTATGGATTTAGGTTTTTATAAAAAGGTTTCTCAAATAGGCCATAACAAGAATATCATATGGTAAAATTCA